TTGATGCAGATGCCACTTGATGCACTTCACTCATCCAAACACTGCTGCACACCAAGTACACCCCCTACTGGCAACGGCACTCCTCGATGGCACTGGCCCACCCAGGAGAAAAATGCACCATGTCACTTCACAAAAACTGCTCAGGGTTGGCCTTAAGAATGTGACAAAGAGCTCAAGGCTTTGGTCTGGCCTCAAAAGTACCTAGATCCAATCTGATCGAGGATTTGTAGGAAGTGCCAGTAGCCCTTGTCCACAGTGAAGCCTCTTTGGATAGAACTTTGTTGTGGCATGTTGAAGCATGGACACAGAATCTCTGGGGGGTGTCTTTTGGTGTGTGTCGCCAGGGCGCTGGCAGCGGATTGTCTGAGTCCTGCGGGTTGTGAGGTGGGGTACTGGCACATCCCACAGATGCTTGATCAGATTGGGATCTGGGGAATTTGGAGGCCAGGTTGTTACTTGAGCTCTGTGTCAAGTTTCTCTCGCCATTCCTGAGCATATTTTATGGGGTGGCATGGTCGATTGTCATGCCTGGGGCACCACTGCCACTGGGGAGTGCCGTTGCCATTGGGGTTGGGGTACTTGGTCTGTAACCAAGTGGTATCCACATGAATGCCAGGACCCAAGGTTCCCCAGCAGAATGTGGCATTGTAACAAGATGATCAATGTTATTCCCTGCACTTGTCAATGGTTTTAATGTTTTGGCTGATCCATGTATTTCTCACTTTTCTCTGATGGTCTGAATAAGTTGCTAAATTTGCTGCTTGTCGCTTTTTGGAAATAAAGTCATTGAGAGGGTCAGAAAAGTTGCTAGCATCATACAGGCTGAACTAGTTCCAAATTTTTTTCCAAAATATTTGGTAATACGACACCAACCCCACCCAAGGCCCCGCCTCCTCACAGACCTCTGCTCCAATCACATTGTCTGTCTGACGTTCACAGAAATAAGGACTTGTATCAATGTAAACAGCCACTTCTGTACAAAAAAAACAAAACAAACAGAAACAACCCCAAGCTTTAGATAGAAAACAACAGAACAATCAAACTGAGGAGATTTAACTGTACAATTCATAAAGTCATAAATTCATCATCATTTCTTTCTCTTTATATCATCACTGTACACTTTCTTTTACAAATAAAAAAACATCAAATCAAATATTTCTCCTTGAGTTAGCATCACTCTCTCTCTCTCTCTCTCTCTCTCTCTCTCGCTCTCTCTCAGCTCATACATAAAATAGAGTCTCCGTTAGTATTTGCCTATTTACATGGTTGCACTATGTACACATTTTCAATTTTTCAGTGTTTTCATGTGGGCGTCACAGCGGATGGCCCAGAACTAAGAGACCGTCCGCTCCCAAAATTATGGATCCCAGCAGAATTACAGGCAGAAGCTGAGATTGGTGCAAGGAAACAGGAAGGTTTGGTCAATTTAGTTCAGGTGTAACATTAATGGTTTTGTTTAAGTTAAGATAAGACATAGTTAGGATACAGGACTTCTGTTTCTGCCCAGAACTTCGGTGGGATCTATAATGAATCGCCCAACACCCAGGAAGTAGTCCTGAGAGAGCCACCGGCAGACTAGTGATGATGTCACCTTCGCTGGGATTCATACTTTGTACCCGACCAAACCACTGCAAACATCTCCACCTCGACGAAACCTTTAACAGCAAATACAGAGTCCCGAAAACTCACTGTAATTTCAAACTGAGGGATAAAATCTGAAGCTACATAATTCACATTCTTCAAAGAAGTCATGGTCTTGGAAGTTCAAACTCTTACTCATGCTAAAGGCCAAAACACACCTGCGGCGTCATATGACGGCGGCGTCATTGACGCGAGTCAAGTGCCGCCCCCAACACACCCAAAAAGCGTAACGCTGCGGGGCGTCAACCGGATTTCCATTGCACACTCCAGTCCGCGGGAGCTGGGACATACAAAATAGCGCTTTTTCAAGGGCGGCGATGCTGGAAAAATAGGACAATAGCATAAAGTCACATTGACGCGCGTCAAGCCGGCGGCGGTGTGGGTTTGTAAATAGAAAATAATGGGGGCGGCTGTTTTGACGCGCATTGTATGGTGCCGGTGTGTTTTGGCCTTAAGAGGAGTTGGTACTTGAACTTGTGTTCTTTAGAAACTGAACTCACATTCATGCTCTTGGGAGATTTAACTAATGTCCATGAGCAATCCAACTTCACCTATTGTTCTTGGGAATTTAAACTAGTGTTCCTGAGTTTTAGTAGTTTAAAGATGTGTTTTGGGAGTTCATACTAGTGTTTTTAAAAGTTTTAACTAGTGTTCTTTGGGGTTTTTACTTTTGTTTTGGAAGTCTGAACTAGTGTCTCTAGAAGTATTACCTAGTGTTCTTGGGAGTTCAAACTAATGTTCTCGGGAGTTTATACTTGTATTCTGGAGAGTTCAAACTACTGTTCCTGGGCATTCCCACTTGTGTTCTTGGTAGTTTGAACTAGTGGTCTTTGGAGTTTGAACTTTTGTTCTTGAAAGTTTTAACTTGTGTTTTGAGAGTTTGACCCCGATCAATCTTGTGTTGTTCTGAGTTTGAAGTCTTGTTCTTAGTGGTTCAAACTCGAACTCTTTTTCTTGGGCATTCAAACTCAAACTCGATTACTTAGTCGGTCAAACTTCAACTCGTGTTCTTGGGAAATCTGAAAATTATTTTGTTTTGAGGACAAAATATATTTTAAGACTCCATATAAGATATAGAAGGTCGTGTCAAACTGGAGTTTCGCAGGTTTTCTCCTGTCCAGAATCAAGCCACCTTAGTTCACACACCATGTTAGAACTTGAAATGCTGTAAAACAGAAATGAGGAAAATTTGACACTTCTGATAAGCTCCTGTCCTGAGTCCAACTCAGATCAGAGATCCTCTACCATAAAACACAACAGAAATTCTTACAAAAGGTGAAAATAAAAACATGTCACACTGCCCCTTTACAGCAGATATCCCAGATGAAAAGTCTTGGTTGACATCTCACCTTGCTGCAGTGATGCAGAACTGTACCGACAGTGTGATAAGTGCAATGTTACATCACTGGTGGGTGTGGTTACGTAAAACATACTTTAACCAGAGGAGCTCAGTAAAACACTGATTTTCAGCTTAGTGTCAAGTTACTTTTCAAACAAAAAATCTTGTTTTTCCAACTTAAGTCACTGTGACCGCGGCCGCCCAAAAGTACTAAAAGAAAGCCAGGTTGTAAGAGAACAATAAATAAAATAGACTATAAGTTGTTGGGTCTAAAACCTGGACTTCACAGAGAAGTTACTAGGTCTTGTTCTCATGTGGACAGGAGGTGGACTTGTCTCTGGACAGGATCAGCCTCACTGAGCTTTTGCAAACAGGATGTTATGGTACAGATGGAGAATGACAAAGTCTCACCGGCCACCAGAGCTGAGCACAGAGAACATTTTTGAAACCATTTACATCTTTTCAGATAATTTATACAAACATGTAAACCGTCTTTACGCACTGAAGAGTTTCATCCCAACCACAAAGATATTGTCTGAATGTCTTACTGAAAAAGACCTTCCCAACAAGTTGGATATAACTGAGGAGGTTTCACGTATTCTTTTGAATAAAGCATAATTTATGTCACAAGTAAAAGACTTCCAGCAAGTATTATAATAAAATGTCTCTATAATTCAACTTCAAAATAAACTACAACTTTTTTGACATCAAATTGTAGCTTTGTCTCAACATATCATTAGAGGTGGGGGAAAAAATCCATACAGCATAGTATCATGACATTCTTGTGTGGCAATACTGTATCGTCACACAGTGCCAAGTATCAATATTTTTAATAAATAAATTATTAGCATTACAAATACAAATTAAACTTTAGGTAGCCTACTAGAATAATATAATCAATTGCTTTTTAAGTCCACTAGATACACTTTGGTGCTGCTAAAAAAAAATTGTGAGTGAGGTGAACAGACTGTCAACATCTGTTTAATCTAAAAGATAAAGTTTTCAAAGTTTTCCTTTAGGGACGTATTTTATAGTTAAAAAAAAAAGGTAATAAATCGCAATATATCGCAATACTCAGCATATCGCAACATATCTAAAATTGCAATAATATTGTATTGTGACTTAAGTATCATGATAATATCGTAATCCCACCCCTACATATTATGAATTTTTACTTCTGATCTTATTACAACTTCTGTCTCTCATAAATGTATGACTTTATCCCCAAGAGTTACTTGTAAAATTACCCATTTTCTCACATTATAACTCTTTTCTTTTATCTTTGTATTTTCATAACATGACAACATTTTTTCCCTCAAAAAATCATGTCTATTCTCTAAATCTCAGGAGCTGGAAGGCTTTAACTGTGAGGCAAATTACAGATTAGTAATACTTCAGAAATGATGCAATCCCTTTTAAAAAAAAAAAAAAAAATATACAATAAGTACGACATCTCAGAGTGAAACTCTTCAGTGCACTGCAAAAAACAAACAAACAAACAACAAAAAAACACCCTAAAACAAACCAAAACTCAATCTTTACCAGTCTAAATTAAAGCACTGTTTCAGTGTTCAGGCTGGACTCAGACCTGGTGGTGATCACAGCAGAAAAACAACAACTCTGTAGATTTCTATTATTATAGTAAATATGACTTAAGTGTGATCAGCTGTACAAACACAGAACCAATTGATCACAACACAACTGGACTCAACTGAACTGAACTCTACTGAAAATCTAGAATAAAGAGTAAACAAAACCTCTCTGTGTCTCTGAGCCCTGAGGTTTGGCAAAAGTGCTTCGTTGCTGCGATAAATTGACCAACTACTGTCACTTCCTGTCGCTCTGTTATTGCCTCAGATGTCGACCCCCCCAATCCATTGAACAGCCAATGGTAGGGCAGCTCTGTGGGGGTGATCAGGTCCTTCCTTAAAGCTGATTGGTCGTTCAGATGTGACAGCAGTTAGATCCCAAACGCTGAGAAAAAATTTTTTCCTGTCGACTCTTTCTTATGTTAGTGTTCTTCTCTCTGGTGTGATGTCGTCCCGTAGAAACAGCCGACTGGCTGCCATATGTTTATTATTTCAATCAGCGTGTGACTTTCAGACCATACCTCTGTTTTTTTAGCATGATTTAGCCCGTTTACTCCAACTCTCACTACCCACTAACCATTTTAAAACACAGACTATGTTAGATTTTAGAAAATGTTCTTACATCTTTCTAACAACCAGTTTTTGTAGTTAATTTCAAAACATTTCAAAATCTCACATAGCCTTCAGAGTCAATCATTTAATACAGCCACAGGTGTCCTGAATAAAATCTGCCGATAACGAAAAGAGGACAAGAAAGTATCAGTATGTGTTCTGCATCACATACTGATACTTTTTACTTTTAGTAGGTCCTGCAGCTACCTTTACAAAGTACATACTGTTGCACGCAGTGTGCACACAATCAGGACATACTACTTTCTCATAACATTGTGCCCTGAACTTCTTGCTCATATATCCTTGGAGATAAAACAAAACACCATTTGTGGAGCATGCCAGAGACAAAGGTCAACCTAGGAGCTTTGTTGAGCTTACTTTGCAATGTATGTGGTTTTAACTTTTAAGTCATAACTGCATACAATGCAAACTCTAGCACAGCCCATGATATCCACAACAGTGTGCATTTTTCTGTCATTGTTGTAATTATAGTTATGTCCCTTTTGTTTTTGATAAACTATGATTGTTTTGCTCATTTAAACAATAAATATTCCTATTATTACTATTATACTGGTCATCAGTCACTTGATTGCACTGTCATCCTTCACTGCAGCTTCTGATAGCCGTCAACGAGCTGTCAAGCTCTTATCTGTTTGCAGCTCAGCCGATGTGACGCATTTTCTGCTGTGCAGAGGATTGTGGGTCAAAATAGCCAGAAAAGCATGCTGGCTTGCAATGATCAAATGTAGTGGGATGTCATGGTATTTTTGGCATACTGCATTTGACATACTACAGTATGTGTTGGGTCATACTAAACCTTTTTCCAGCATACTAAATAGTATGATAGTATGGGTATTGGAACGAACAGTTATCGTCAGTTAATGATAGGAAGTGCCATCCAATGGCTGATACATCTTTTTTTTTAATATAAACCCCCCTTGAATTTGGTTGTTAGAGGTACCTTGTTGAGTTTTTAATAGTGTTATGGATCAATGTTTTATAAGTGGGTCTGAGCGCACAAGAGCACACATGCGATTCCTAACACCAGTTTCATGTTATTGTGCTGATCGATGGTAGTAATACAAATAAATGCGGCAACAATGACAAAACTTCACAGGGTACCTTAAGCTTGGTTTCTCTGGGAATGTGATTATGTTATTACAACTCCTCAGTGCTCTCTAGTGGACAAAGTCTGTAGTGAAGACACTGTCTCTAGTTAACTTCGGACATATCACTTTTTTTACTGACTTTTCCTGTAACTTACTGACTGATATATGTTGTGATAATCATATAGCTCTGATAGAATAGTATCAGACCAGTCTGCGTGTTGATTTTTATAGAAATTAACTGACATCTATTGCTTTCTATACCAAAATGAAAAAAACAAACCACTGTGTTGTGGTTTGGCAGCAATGGAGCGTCTATGTGATTTGAAGCAAACTGGTTAAAGCATACAAAATACAGGGGCATGGTCCTTTAAAGTGAGTGTAGTGTGAATTTTCCAACTGTCCTGTTGAATCATAAAACGCTGTGAGAGACATTTAACGATGTTTGCCATCAATGTCCTGAAACAAAAAGTAGAAAGACTGAAGAGTTGACCAACATCTTCGGACTGCAGCTGAGATTACGTTCGGTAAAAAACAGCAATGAAACATCCTGACAGTCCGCCACTAACAAGTCCTACCATGTGATCGGGGTCCATGAATGCACCGTGACCAATATGCCAAAGTGCTTGCAAGTCTGTGACAGGTGTCAGTGATATTGTCACCGTTAAGGTTTAATCAAGGAGGAATCTAAGTAGTTCAGATGAACAAAACCAGTCCCTGATAGCTCTGTGTGGAATATGGCAGCTGATACGAACCACAGATCAGAGGTCAGCCCAACAGCCCTTACCGCTGATGTAAACCATGGACACAATCCACTGTAACTGTGAGTTCAGTTACAGATCTAGAGTGGTCCGTTGTGTCCATTATTCGATGTTAGAGAGTTAATTTTTTTTGATGGAAAAATATATTCAGTCCTGAAATACAGATGACGGATTTCTGAGTGCAGAAGTCTCTCGTGTAAACTCGGACAGCAACATTTGAAAAGTCGTAGCAGCTAAATTTGACCATTTCCACTGGTAATCAAACTGGTCTCTCTCTGCAAAGGTTTAGAGGAACTTGATTTATGTCATTTCTGTTTGTTCCTGCAGAGTTTAATATCTTGCGTCTGCATGTCCTCAGAGAAAAGATCCTGGAGAACGAAACCAAGGCTGCATAATGTGAATCCACATTTGTCGGTTGAAAAAATTGCTCGTCTGCTGGCATTTTTACATCCTCCGCTGTGTTTGAAAGCTTGAACATTTTGTCCGTCTACATGTTGTTCAGAGACAATAACATGTTGGTTTTTGTTTGTTGTTCTACAAATTTTGAGAGTAGCTTTAATAAGTCCAGTTCCAGTTTTGTTGTTTCAAGCCTGCCTCCCAACAGGAAGTTGGAATAACCAGTCAGCTGTTTGAAGTGCAGTGTCCTGTTGATATTTGGGTGTCTGCAGTCAAAAGCTATCCTTGACAGCCGTTTCTGAGTTGATCCATAGAGATGTTTATGTGCATCCCCGCAAAAGTACCGTATTGACCCACATATAAGACGATCCTGATGAGTATTGAAAAAAAATAATAATAATTTTTGAAGATACAAAACACTTTTGGAAAAGTTTCCAAAAGATACTGTTGGTCTGATGAGTCCTTTCCTTGGAGCCTTTTATTTCATAAAAGAGAAACACAAGATGAAAGCATTAAAGCAGATCGTAAATCCCGCAGTTGTGTAGTTTGTCCTGTGCTGTCTTATATTTCGGCCAATATGGTATAGTTCTTGTTTCCCATGAAATTGTGGTTGAACAACAGGTTTGAGGCTGTTTGTTGGAGCTTTCAGCCGGTGTCAGTCAGGTGGTCAGATTGTCTTTAGACTGATTGGTAAGCCACCACAAGAGGAGGGAAACTAGGGTGGGAAAGTGCAGAAAGTGAGAAAATAGAAAGAGTCCATGATTCGTCTCTTCTTCTTCTTCTTCACTGCGGCTGGGTCAAAGTAGTGTTGCCTCTCAAACCTGCTGCAGATTAACTGTCAACATCTGAATTGAGCCTGTTGAATTTTCAGTTATCTTGAATCTTTTAGCTGATGTACAGATGCAGAGCGCTGTGCACTTGGGATCTGACGTGACTTTGAGGTTTTGTTTATTCTGGGCAACTTTGATCAGACTGACCACCAGGTCACACCAGGTGTTTTGAGGTTTTGGTCCAGTTTGATGAACTCCCTCCACATATCTCTCTGTGGTTGTGGTTGTCAGGGCTGCTGGCAGTGTTTGGACTTGACAGCTGCTGATGGAGAGGAAGGATAAGGGAGGAAGAGGAGGTGAAGGTGTAGAGATAATTAAACTTGTGGATGAAAGAGAGGAAGCTCATTCTTTCTGCTGATCGAGAAATCTCAAGTTATTTTTTTATTTCAGGTAAAGACGATGATGAGGAGGTTGTAGGTTTACAGTTTCAGGGTAAAACGCCTTCCTTCACTTATTTCCATCTCTTTCTACCTGAACCTTCCTCCATCCATTTGTTTCTTTGCTTTCTTGTTTCTGGACACAAAATCCTTCCTCTTCTTCCCCTTCTCTCCATCCCATCTCTTCCTCTTCATTTTCCATGCTTTCTTATTTTTTTCTTTACCATCCTGTCAGTCCCTCTATGTGTCTTTGGGCTCCAGTTTGCATGACATGTCAAACAGCAGGTTCTGGTTGTCGATCACCTGTAACTGCCGGACGTAGGCCTTCGTTTGCAGGTGGGAGGGGGATGTCTCTGTATCCATGGCTACCAGGTGACACAGGAAGAGACAGAAACAGGAACAGAAGAAAAGAAAACGCTGATTTTAGGGATCCACTCTTACATCATTTATCAGTAACAGCACACAAAGGTGCAGTGACACTATATCACCACTAGAGAGAGACAAAGTTCAACATGTGCTTAGGAAGCAGCCACTTCTTACATGTGCTTCACAATAAACGCATTTTGTGGTAGGAGTTTACTGTGCTATCAGTGCTGTGTCCAAAATCCAGACTACATACTAATTATTTACTACATAACATCAGAGATTATAAGAGCTTATTGTTTCAGCAGGTAGTAAACAAAAATATCAACATACACTATCATTTTATACTAACACAAAATGATACGTGTGATTTGATACTTCTTTTGGTTTGTTTTCTGAGATTTTTTTAACCCCCAATATAATTTAGATTTTATTTTATTCCACTTGTAAGCTGCTGCTTCTTAGTCTTTGTGTGTTGCATTGTACGAGAAAAGTGTCTATTAATCTGCTCAAAATGAACTATTAAGTGTGAATAGTGTCTACATTGAATTAACTTTTTATTTTGTCACTTTTCGAGTGTGATTTTTGTATTAATTTGATTTAATATGTACTGTATTCATTATTAATTTGATACTTAAAACTAGGGATGTCAACAGTTAACAGTTAACCAGCTAACCATAGAGAATATTATTGACTGGTTGCACATGTCGATAGGTTAAATTTACTGCTTCTGCACACCACCCAGGTCTGGTGTGAGCTAGCTAGCGGCACCGCTAATTTGCCGATGACCACTCCTGTCTCTCCTCAGATCACCCCAAAGACTAAGCAGCTCAATTTTGAACCACAAAACCTCATTTAGCATTGTTAACTACTATTAGCTCTGTTAGCAGTGTTAGCACAGCTAGCGGCGTTAACATAGTTAACAATGTGTGACTCAAAATGAAGCTACTTCCTCATTGGGGCGACCTGAGGAGAAACCTGAGGGTGAGCAAAATGTTTTCACAGCAACGCGTCTGTTACGTTAGCTAACAAGCTGAGACCAGAGGGTGAGCAGTGGCCACTATTCCGCATATAATGCTTGCAAGCTGTCTGTCAGCAACAGACAGCTGGAAAAGCCAACAGAAAAAATAAATAAAAAGTGCAATACATTTATATCACAAAGCATTTAAATTATACCACCTCTAAATTGAAAGCACTTTGAAATACGGCACTAAAGCTCAATGAGTCAATGGAGCGCCAGTCTGAGAGGAAAGGCCTCTTTTATATCACATAATTTCGAGGTAATGTGGGATCATAGGAGTTGTCTTCATTGTTAAACAACCATATAAAAATCTATATCTGTGTAAAAACAACCACCACTGCTGATAAAAATCTATCTGATGTGACGTGACTCAGGCAGAAAATCTGTTCATGGATAAAACTTTTATTCACGTTACGTTTTGTCAAGTTTGACTACCTATACATTGTACAGTGACTGTAGCTAAAGTTATCATGTGGTGTTATCCATGGTCAAAACAAGTCACACAAAAGCACAAACTAACAAACAGAGCCAGGCAGTGATGGACCAGCAGCTCAGTGATATGCGAGGTAAAATTACTATTTCTGTCAAAGGAGTCTGGTGGCTTTGAAAAGAGAGACATGCAAGGGCTTCAATGGGGCAGCAGCAAAAGGTATTTCTGACACCTCAAAAAAAGCACACCAAAAAAATAAATTTCAATTCAAACATATGCTGAATTTAATTAAAAAAAAAAAAAAAAATCCATTGATTTAAAGAATTAAACAAGTTCAAATCTCATTAGGATCACCAAGGAACACCAAACTCTGGGATATCTCTGCCTTGTTACTAAAACGGATACTCAATAGTTTCTAGCGAAACATGTTTTTAACATGTAGAAAGTGAGGTCAAAGGTCACAGCAGCAGTGTGTTACCTAGCTGGCTGCTCCTGTATCGTCTGATGATCCTCACCATCTCTGCCACTTTATGCTGAAGGAGGAGGAAGAAGAGAGGGGAGACAGGAAAAGAGGAACAAAAACATGGGAAAGGAGAAGAAAGAGTTTACTTCAGTTGAGTTGTTGCTTTTTGACAAATTTTATTTTGTATTTATGCAAATCTGAGGTATGACTTTAAAATAAAATATAATGGATGGACCATTTTTTTAGGCAAACCTAAATTCTACATGTTTATATAATCTATTGTACTTGTTCTCTTCAATATTCACTTTCAAATAATCCTGGTTATCCTGAAAAAGAAAATGTGCAATACATTCGTATTTGAAGCTAGTAAGAGACTTTGAAAGATTGATAGAGTACAAAAATGCAGTTTTTGGCCAGAGACCAGAAATGGCTGAAAAATGGATCTCCACTGGAGATGTCAAAGTTTCCAAAGATCCAAAAATCTGTGAGGCTGAATTTTGGGGAAATGTGTTCAAAATGAAGAAGCAGATGTGGAATATTCGCTGCAACAACATGATGTATGATACCGTCAGACAAAGTGGAGGGAGACGGCACTTAAACAGTAAAAGTGGAAAACACCGTGTTAAAGGTTTGACTTTTAACTTTTTTTAACTTTTTGAGCGTCTTCAAAGTGATTTTCACACTGATTTGACTGAATTTGAATCCACTCACCATCTTCTCAAAGTTGACGAGTTCACCATGAAACGTCTTACAGCTCTCATGAAGAAATGTCAAGTCTGAGAAACAGGACACAAAGCAGTTCATTAATTAATCTAGCAGACCTATGATTGGAAATCAACTCTCCATTTTCTGTCATTTGTCAAGTTCTTTGTGAATATTAATTATTGTTAGATTTTATCTAATTTATTGTCTGTGTTATATGTTTTACAGCTTCTGTGTTTTAGAGATAATGGAGTCTATCTAAACACATCAGTGTTTCTTGTAGGCAAATAACTAAATCTTAGAAGTTAACCCTTATTTTCATCTTAAAATTTTGCTTGCATGCAATATTATTGCTCATCTTGTCAGTATGAGCCACAAAAAAGAGATCTCTGGTTTGTCATCAGCCCTGGAGTTACATATTGGTGCAGTTCTATCTCTTTTACCACAGGGGGGGCCAGAGTTCTTCATACACTTAAACTTTAATTCTTTCTTTCTCCTTTTAACCATTTGATTCACTTTCATCCATTACTCCCTCCTCTTCTTCTGGTTACCATGGAGACAAAGAGCTTAAGGCTACACAGACACACAGACACAGACGCACACACACACACACACACACACACACACACACACAGCGTAAGAGGCATACAGTGTGTACAGTAATCCCATTTAAAGTCCTCTTCAACTGAATGGGTGAAAGCGGAAGAAAGACAAATATGCGTATGCATATGCGTGTGCGTCTGTGTGTGTGTGTGTGTGCGCGCATGTGAACACCTGCTGAGTTGAATAAATTTCAGTTGAAGATGAGATGAGAAGAAAAAACTGGAGCAGAGAGGAAAAGCAATGATGATGAAGAGTCTTTGAACTCTGTGTGTGTGTGTGTGTGTGTGTATGTATGTGTGTGTGTGTCTGGTTAACGGTAACATGGAGCTGATTAGCCAGAAGTGCTAATTAGCGAGGTGGAGCTAACATGCTAATGTGTCTACAGCGGCTTCACATCTGGTCCACAGCTGGAGGGAAACAGTCTCGTAGCAGCAGTAAGTGAAGATTTATAAATGATCCAGTGATGAACCGATGAAGTAGCTGATCAGAAGCCTTGTTGAGGTCGTTTAGCCTCTAATTCTGTTTCAGGAGATCCTCAGGGGACTGTGGCGACAAAATGTGGGTGATGTGACCATCAGAGTACCTTCCTAACCAGACATCTGGTACTGTCTACATAAGGGCTGTGTGATGGAGCAAGAATCATATTGGTGTATTTAGTCTAAAAGGCGATGACAAGATACATAAATATTTTATACGAAGCTGGCTAAATGTTCAGTTTTAAGTCAACGCCATGTCTGAAATGTCACAAGCACTTTGTTACAGTCTATATCTCGTTTGACTCACCTTTAAGCAGCAGAGGTGTGAAGGGGATCAGTGGAGGTCTCAGGCTGGTGATCAGGTCTCTGTATGACTTATGGTTCCTGGAGGGGTCCTATAAGATCAGATAAGTGGTAGAAAATAAGTATTCAGACCATTTACTTCAGTAAAAGCACTTATACTACAATGTTAAAATACTCCAATAAAAGTCCTGTATTCAAAACCTTCAGTAGAAGTTTGTAAAAGCAGAATGAACTTAAAAAAAGACTCATTGTGTAGTAAAATGTTCCCTGTCAGTGTTTTACTATTATATGTGCAGTTTTAGTATTAAAACTTCACTTAGCTGCATTAATGTGTATGTTGTATTTTACCACTGTAGATGTTTAAGGTTGTGCTCATTTTAACTCCTTTATATACTGTTAGGTAGTTTAATCTACAGCAATGCATCATATTCTATAAGATCATGTTTGTAATGAACCATGAATCTCTAAAAAGTCAACTTTCATGGTGTCAGAAAGACAGGCCTGTTTTCAGCTTTGTGACGATGCATTTTCCAGGTGATCCAAGAGGGTTTTAAAGAGTTGACTTAGCTTAATAAATACACTGTAGGAGAATTCTCTCAGCACATGAGACCTCATGAACATTTATCACAAACATTCAACATCAAAACATCTGGAGATACGTGTTTTTCACTGGACAGGAAGGGGATGAAAAACAGTAATCTGAAAAGTAACTAAAGCTGTCAGACAAATGTAGTGCAGTAGAAAGAGGCATATTTCTCTCTCAGATGTCGTGGAGCCGAAGTGTAAAGTTGCATAAAATGGAAATACTTAAGTACAAGCACCTGGAATTTATACTCAAGTACAGTACTTCAGTAAATATACTAAGTTACATTCCACCACTGGATTAAATAAATCAATATTCATATTCATAGTTTTCTCATTTTCACAAATTCATCAGCAGAATCAATTATTTTTAGTTTTTTTGACACAAGTCTGGTGTTTGTCGGTATTTGACTTTTGACCTTTAAAACTTCTCATCCCATTAGCTTCAATTTACACAGCTCAGTGATGAAGATGATGATGTCATCATTATATATTTTACTCACCGCAATGCTCTCAAACTGCTGAAACTGCTTCCTGAACTTCCCCGGAAGACCCTGAACACACACACACACACACACACACAGAGTGTGAAATGACTTGTATATAAAAACAGATACTAGAAATCTACAATGAAAACAAAAACAAAACTGTAATAAATACACAGCAACAAGAGTGTCCAAACAGCAAGAACGGTTACATCTCTGAGATTCACCAATTTTGATTCTCATGTTTATTTTAAAGAGAATCTTTAAAGGTTCAGTGTGCAGGATTTAGGTAGATATGTTGGCAGAAACTAAATATAAAAAGTATGTTTTCTTTGGTGTATAATCACTTGAAAAGAAGAATCATTCTGGGGTTTTCTTCCTCAGAAGGAGCCAATTATGTCCTCGTTCACAGAGTCTGCCATGTTGCACCACCGTATTTCTACAGTAGCCCAGAACAGACAAACCAAACAGTGGCTCCAGATAGGGCCATTTACATTTTGGCATTGGCCACCGTAGTTAGAAGCCCCTTGCAACGAGCCAACAAGAATAAACAAGAATCGTAAAACAGATTATTTAAAGTGAAATTGTTTATTTCAGTGTTTTACCAGTTTAATTTACCAGGTCTGTTGCATTTGGAGAGCAGGACACCTCTGCAGATAATTCAGCTCCCGCTAAAAATCTCCAGAACAATATACACAGAAGGAATTCTAACTACGAGAAGTTTCAGCTGGTTGCAATCTAATCCTCACCACTAGATACCACTAAATTCCTCTAAATCTTACACACCGAACCTTTAATAAGTGATTAGTTCACTGTTAAATAGTGATGAGATGTTTATAAAAGTTACTTCCTGCTCCTCAAAGGATGATTCCCTCTTTTTGTGCAGAATTATTTTCCTTCATATTAACGACAGGAAGTCCGATTTTTTAGCAGCTTGAGATTTGCAACGAAACACCTCAATTCATGCTCTCTTTGTGAGTCCATGATTTCTTGACACGATATTACTGTGGACAAACACAGCAGGTGTTGTGCTGCATGCAGGTAAGGTAGAGCAGTGTCAGGTGAGTGTTGTACCTCCCAGGTGAGTCGTAGTCTGCTGACAGCTGGGTTGTCCAAACCAAGAACCACAGCCAGGAACGACAGCAGGTCTTGCTGCTGCTTACAGCTGAAACACATACACACAACACATCCATAAGGACAGGTAATCTACAAGGTTTTGTCTTTTTAAAGTCTTTTTATCATTCAGAAAGATGAGACTTTTAATGTTTCTTGTTGAAAGTGTTCTCTGTTGTCTCACAGGAAGTAGCACTGATGGATTTTAAAGAAAATTTAGAGTGGAAGTTTGATTAATGACCATCGTGACCTTGGGAGATATATTTCTGTCTAACGTTTTTTGTGATCAACCTTTTATTTTTCTGCCTAATATATAACATTTAGCAATACACAGGCAGAAAATAAATAGATGTTGTAAAGCCAAACATTCAAAAAATAGAGAAAAATGTCCACCACAGTTTCTATGAGTCAAAGGTGACATTTTCAAATGTCTCCGTTGGTCCAACCAACAGTCAAAAACCCAAGTATGCTCAGTTTAAAATTACATAAAACAGAGAAGAGAAGGAAAATCCTCCCAACTAGAAAACAGTTACATTAAAGTGTTTAATAAATACAATCAGTTATTTATCAGTAATCAAAAAACAGTCTTGCCAGTATCTCCTTGTGTTCAAGTCAATCGAAACATATCGTTTCACACAAGAGATGAGATGTGTGTGATAACATGAGACGATGTAAATTATACTATATAATGTAATCAATGACCCCCTGAGCCAGGGGTCTCATTTATAAATACTGCGTATGCACAAAATGAGGCCTGAAAGAGGCGTACTCCACTTCACATGCAAAAATTGTGGTCAATAAAAAGAGAATTGTTGGGAGAAACATTGAATCTTAGGCTTACAAACATTTTGGATATGGGAAATTGGCAACGCAGATGGTGAGGTGGAAGCCTGATTGTAGAAAGTGTTGATTATTTTTGGGGTACGCCACTTTTGGCTTTTGTCTGTATGTACATTTTTAGTCTGGATCCTACACATTGTTTTATAATTGAGATACCAGGTCACTATCTGGACTCACAGTGCTGCGATCTTGATGAACTTGCGGAGCAGCTGGATCCTCTTTGGCAGTGACTGACACTGCAGGATCTCCGTGGCGACCCAGTGCTGCACCTCGCTGCAGCGCTGCAGTACGAGCTCCAGGTTAAGGGGGCGCCAGCGGGACTGCTCCCCATGAAACACATAGCACACAAACTCCACCTGCAGGAGACACCAATAAAGAAGAAGACAAACAGAACTTTAACTCCTGAAGTCACAGAGTTACTTTTATTCACTAATTATTTTTATTTTGTTGTTAATGTGTCACATTAGACCTGAAATTTGAACTGTCATCACTTTTTCTGTAAGGAAATATAAACTATAATGACTAAGTCAAATAGAAATCTGATTAGTTGTTTGCCGTAATATAATAACCATATACAATGGTGATGATGCCCAATTCTTTTCAAAAATTCAGTATCACTCTGCGTTTGCCTGCATCCAGGCCTTGAACCTGCCCCCTCCACCGAGTTGAAACGAAGTCTTATTGAGTTGACAACTCTGTTTGACATCAGGCAAACTCTGTGTGTAGCTAACTAACAAACTGCTATAACACTTTAACCTCCGTGCTGGCCTTACTTTGGAGGAGTGGACTGAATTGACAGAATCACTACAGAGTTGCGCATAAAGCTATGTAAGGAGTCACATTTGATCACACTGAGTCCATACAACCATTTTATCCTTTATAAAAACAATTATTTCAGTTGATGTGAGGATGTTATACACTAGTGTTGTATTAAGTGACAAGAAAAGAAATCCAGATTATAACTAACAGTGACAGACACCATCTCACTGACCTCGTGCACACAGCTGAAGAGCTCCCAGTCAAACACCACAAGCTGATTGGCTACCTCCTCAGCTGACATGTCATGGAGTTTGCTGTCACCGGGTGTCCAGTGGATCTCCTCAGGCAGAGGAAGCTGAGCGTGCAGGAAATGACATCATCAGATTATAAATGCAACGTTTGCTTCTACCAAAGTGTGAAACACCTGAAACACAAATAAGATCCCGCAGTCACTCCATAAAGACTCTACTGGTGCTCCCTGGGGAGCCAATAACCCCTCCAGGCCTCCAGGGGGCAATATAGAACAGTACAGTCTGTATGCATCTCAGCACGGACACATAATGGATATATAAAGAGATGCCGCCTTAATGGTGGAGCCCTGTTCATTCCTATCAAAGTTGCTAGAGCTGGAGCATGAAGCCAAAAAAGTGCATCGTATATAAAATGACCCAGAATATTGGCACTGCTTCCGCACTGTGTGGCCCATAGAGTGAGCAAACCAGGTGAGTTGGCTACTTCTAATTTAACCCTCTGCTATCTTGAATGGGGATAAAATGATTGGATCGTGCCGCTCTTCTGAACTATGCAAATGTTATCAGACTGAATGGATCAAATTCTGATAGTGAAACAAGTCATTTTGTGGGGGTTGTGACACTCAAAAAACATTTATATACGTCTCTTCATCAGTCTATGGGAAAAAGTGTTTTGGGGCCCAATGGCATCACACAATGGACACAATTCCACTGTTTGGCTACTACGAAAATTGGCCTCAAAGCCTGGTGCACTTCTTGCGGGCCTAGGAAACATTATAACCCCACCGGTCTGGTGCTTTTGCAATTCAAGTGATTTTTTTTTTTTTTACAATTTATCATTTTATTTCTGTGTTGTTCATTTTATGAAAACCTTAACGCTTTTTTATAAGTTATTTACATCCTTACATCATTCATTCATCTTATCATTTAATTCAATGAGCAAAACACAAAAAAAACATAAAAATTAAATTTTTGTGGTGAGCTTTAAAAACTGAAGTTGAAGACAACTGTGTGTGTTTCCTGTTTCCATTTTGATGAGGATAATCTGACAAGAAAATTCAAACCAAAAATTATGTATTTCTCTTTTATTTTGCTGGCTGCATTTACTCTACAGTCAGTCAATCAACCAATTAATCAATAAATGAATCAGTTCCTCACCAGTGACTCAAGCTCAGAGGGTTCACAAGCAAACAGGTGAGTGTTGACTCCCAGTGTGGTGAAGACGGCCTCATCACTGGGACGAAACACTGCCTTCTCTGAATACACAACACACATGAATCAACATTAAAACACACTGTATGTTTGACAGCTTCATGACCAAACTGATTCTAAACTTTAAAATGAATTTATGGTATTTAAATAAAATGAAACACAGACCAGAAATACTCAAACAAAGTAACTCAATGTTTAAATGTTTCGAGTTGAAGGTATAATTGGTGTCAGTATTAGTCTCCTGACCTCCAGCTGATGTGACGGCCACCAGTATGAGGTTTCCAGGCAGAACTGGTTGGTCTTCACTGTACTGGAGTTTCTCTCGGACCAGAGCCAGAATCTCTCCAACCCGACAGGACAGACGACTCCTGATGGTGACGTAGGAGTGATCGGGAGTGTAGACCCTGCAGAAGACTGGAGACACAACAGTATAGAAATATTTTAGTACCATCCAGTCATCTGTTGTGGTGCTGCACCTTGAAAGTGCAGACCAATATGCTAGCCTAATAGCTTTAGCTTCTACAGTAGGATCTGTTAGTTTTCCATCATTTCAGACCTGTTACTTTAAATTTAGCCTCCATTTTCTATGATTTAGAGTTAGCTTCTAGGTCCTGTTTAATTAGATTTGGCTTCTAGGTTAGTGTTTCTCAGTGGAGGCAGTACTGCCACCCAGTGGGCGTTTAGAGAACGTCAGGGCGCTGGAAGCAATTTTCCTGAAAGGGGGCATTTGTGTGTATCTGCTCTTTAATAGCAGTTTAGTCCTACATGCCCATCTACACAATTTTATCATTAGACCTGCTTTCACCACCATCATCGGAAGTGTTTCTTTGATGAAGGTTTCCCTGCTTAAAATTGTACTTGAAAGCAGCTTCTGTTTACTATGGAAGGGCATGTTCCTGTGCTTTGCGGGCATTCCTCCATCAATTCTTTTGAGATCCATCAAAGTGGAAAGCTATCCTACTTCTGAGCGTGGCATATTAAAACACGTGAGCAACTGTAATTTATAGACAGAGAGAGAAAGGAGGACTTGACCGATGCTGACTCTAACTCTCTTTGCTTTTTGTCAGATCTAGTTTCATTTTTCTATCTCTGATGAAGAGCAGTGCAAAACCACTTCCTTAAACTTTGTCTTACTCAGAATCAGTTCCAAACAGGGCTCTGTGTCTGTCATATGGTCTAAAGTGGATACTAGAGCGCAGAGCAGTAACGTAAAGCACGACAGACTAAAACATTTTATTTTTTCTCAAAATAATACAACTTTATTCTCAACTTGTCAGAGAACACATACATATCGGATGTTTTGAATGTGCAGCAAGTTTTGAACATGGGCAGAAATCCTTCTTAAACATATAGGAGCTAAAGTCCAGAGGTATATATATATTTGGGATGCACAATATTGGATTTTTTGCTGATAACCAATAGGTCGATATATAGCAACTCATTTGACCAATAACCAATACCATTATGGATATATCCACTTTTTCCCCCCACCTAATTTTAGTGATCATCAAGTCTGCTCTGTAGTGGAACTGACATCATATTATGCATGTATACTCTGATCGTGATGGCCTACCAGCAGATGGAGACATGAAATACAATGCTTTTCAATGGATGTAATATTTATTCATTGGGCAAATTAATTCTGATAGTTTTAAAGAAAACATTAGCCAATACCAATGACGTACCGAGATTATCGTGCATTCCTAACATATATATATACTAATTTGGTGCCTGAATTTATGTCTTTTCCTTTAAATAAAAAAAGACATTTCTGCCATAACTTGGTACATAAAAATTCATCAGAATGCAGGAAATGTCTGTGATGTTCAGGATTTCCTGGGGGAGGACCTCCAGACTGACTGCTTTATATGTGTTGGATAGTCTACAAAGCTTTCTGCTTTTCTTCCAGTAGCCTCAGACTTGTCCTTGTGAAGCTGCTCTTCATAAGCAATTCATAAGAATGCTTTTTATTTGGCATCAGCGCCAAATTACTGCTTTCTGACTGGCTACAGTTGGTGAACAATAATGTGGCCTTATTTAAGTCTGAATGTCAAATTTCTAACCACTGCATTTGATCAACACTCATAAATATCATTTCTATTCACACAGCTTTTTTGCTCTCAGAGAAACTCATAATAACGATATTCCAGCTGTGCAATTTAATCAAATCTGCTATTTGGCTTTCAGCAACATGCTTTTTAATGATATAACACAGAATAGTAATCAACATTAATATTCAGGGAAGACAATTCACCCACATTCTAACTGATGGAGTGCAGTAAAGGACCTGGATAATGGATAAGGGTGCTGGCCCCAAAAAGGATTGAGAACTGCTGGTTTAGATTTAGCTTCTAGGTTCTATTAGCTTAGAGTTAGTATTATATTATGTTCCAAGACCATGTATTTTATCTTTCTTTTGAGTATCATTACATTTATCTATATGATAAAGATAGTTTTAGGAAAACTATAAATTGAGTTAGCTTGTGAATCCTTCTAGCTTTGAATTAGCTTCTAGGTCCGATTCATTCACAGTTACCACTAGTTCTAGTTAGTAACTAGCTTCTTAGTCTAGTTAGCTTATAGTTAGCTTCACGGTCTAAACCAAGCTGACTACAGGATGGTTTGGTGACTAGTTTGTCAGTTAAGAAAATACAACATGTAAATCAGACTGGGAGTTACTGTAAGATGGAAATGCTAACAGTTTCCACCTCCTTTCAATCTTTGTGTTACTGTGTAACTACATCTTGCTTTGTGATGCTTGTTGTACAGATGAAAACTGTGTGAGTGTCAGTTTGTGATTTGTATATCCAGACCACAGGCTGCAGGTGTGTTTGCATTTCAACTGCATGTGTTTACAGATAATACAGTGTAGTATGTGTGCATGTGTGCAGGTGTGTGTGTGTGTGTGTGTCGTACTCTCGTCTGAGCCTCTGAAGGCCTCTCTGGGCTGCAGACAGGCGTCGATGCGTCTGAAGTGTCTGAACAAAGGACGGACCTGCTTCTTCCTGCTTTCCTTCTCCTCATCAGAACTAAGCACACAAGCACACACACACGAAGAGTTAAGACAAATTAATTGGTTGTTTGATTCCTTACAATTAATTTTTACGTTTTGAATTAATAAATTTATCATTAGTAGTTTAAATACTAGTTATTAGCTTTGATATAATCGTCATTATTCAAAGTTAAAAACAACAATTATAGCTAATATTATCTATAACTGTCATTATACATTTAACATTGTGTTTTTAACATAACTAATGTACACAGTGCTTACAGGTTCAGAAAAGAATATATACAATAAATATAATATAAACACCTGAGAAATAAATGGTAAACAAATTACAGATATATGGTAAATATGCAATAAATAAGAAATTTGTCAAATATGATACTTATATGACGTGATACAGATTATCGTGTGATAGATAAGTAATAAACACATGGTAAATATGTGATGAGTGTAAGATTAATATGTGATATATATATGAAAAATACATGATTAACTTGATAAATACATAAAAATACAGAATAAATATGTGGTAATTATGTCACAAAGTTAAAATGGAAACAGAGAGGTTTTGTGCTGTAACTTATCATAAAGTAAACAGTGATTGCACAATGTAATGTGTCTTACGGGCAGTTTAAGATCTCGGTCCATCTCTGCAGTTTGAGGACATCCTCCACCAGCTCAGGATACCGACTCAACTCCTGAACCGCACACAGGTACAGCTCCTATACACACACATACACACACTATAAACAGTCTGATATCTTATTTAACATTAACATCCCAAACTTCCCAAGGTGTGTGCTGAAATGAATCACTTCCATTGCCACAGCAACCGTGAACACCCTACAGCAACCTGGTGCCAAAAACAATAGTTCCCACCCTGCAGAGGTGTTATCATCTGTGTTGTGTGTATTATTATCAGTGTGTGTGTGTGTGTGTGTGTGTGTGTGTGTGTGTGTGTGCGCGTGCGCGCACAAGATTAGAAAACAGTTCAATGGAAATTCTGCTGTTTTTCTTTCACTTTCTGGTTTGTGCCACTGAGGCTCCTTTCTGTAGGGACCTGTAAACTTTAACACAGCTTTATCAGCTTACTGATCATTCCCGGGCACTCCATAATGACTCCAACTTCTGGAACATGACATAAGATCTGAGAGAGCACACAACAAATGTGTGTTTTATGTTGTGTTATGCTGTGTATGATGTAGAGGCCTGTGTGTTATGTGTGTTTTGTATTGTTCCATGTGCTGTATGTATGTGTTATGTTATTTGTAGGGCTGTAAGGGTTAATGCATTAAATGCAAAGCGATTAAGGTCTGATCATAACAAATTTTATTCTTTTTAAAATCGCATTTATAATGTGCTGCTATTTTTGATGCACCCTAATCATGTCGACACAGCAGCTCTCTGCTTCATGCTGCCGCATTGATGGAAAAAAAGTCACCACTGCGCTTTTGTAATGGCTCATTTCACTTTAAAAAACTCCCAGATGGTTCAGTTGACAAGTGAAAAGTAATTTGCACCTGCAGAGAAAAAAATATTAGTGTCTCTCTGAGCCGCTGCTGCTGGTCAGTCTTAAAACAGTTAAGTCTGACGCTGCAAACTGGACTGATGACTGACTAGCACTAGTACTGAGAGTACCAGGTCTATGTATTGTAAATAATGTCATTTCATAATGTCATTGAACTGCGAATACAGATGTTATTTTGATTTCCTGATTTGTTTTGTGGGGATCAACGGTAAAACACACTTTTAACATTATTTTTTTAAAAAAAAGACAAACAACAACTTAAAAACTGGACTGGGACAGAAATAAACAGACCCAGAGGACTGAAGTCTTGAGATTATGGAACAGTTTCTTACATACATGCACACACGTGTCATTAATCGTGATTAACTGTTGAAATTCAGCAAGTAACTGACATTTCAAGAATTAATTGTTTGACAGCCCCAGTTATTTGCTCATATTTTTGTGTGTATGCTATATATAGAATATATGTTATGAATATGGATGTTACCAATTATTTTGAGATTTTACAATGCAACGTCAGACAAAAAAAAAAAGAAAATCCTACATCCTATGCCCCAAGATTGACTTAAGACACTTTAATACCATTTCAGGCCTCATTTTAGACTTTTTAAGGATCGGCAGGAACCCTGTTAAAGAGCTCGAAGGCAGGTGGTATCTGAAGTTGTTAGGCAAATATAACCTGCTCTGTATCACAGCCTATTTACCAGAAATCCTGTGTTCTGAGCTGATCTTATTCCAGGCCTTGTGTTTTAAGTGTAAGTCTAAGTGTGTATTAAGCCCTAAAATATTATTTAGGACTGATGTAAAGTTCTGGGGAGCCCTGCAAAACAGTCAGCTTCCTCTCCATATTTCCCACAGACTGATATTTACAGAGAAAGTAAAGATATATATCAGCTGTGACTGGTTGTTCCTTCTCACATGATATGCGCCGTTTCAAATGCTGAACTTTGTTAATCTCAGGGTGCAGCCATTGCGCCCTAAAAAACATGCCGCGATGGCGTTGTTCTCGCTCCTTCCATGTGTTTACATTAAAAACAATGGATTTGAGGACACAAAAAACTGAGCATGTGTACAGGCCCTTAATTTACAATAACAGAAGCAACTCTACCCAAAACTTAAGTTAAATCATTCCAGACCCAGAAACCAGGAATTACCAGCACCATCTGGGATGCCATAAACAAACACACTGCAACTTATAACTTACAGCTGCAGTCTGAAAACACGGACAATTATAAAGCAGCAGCCTACGATGTAAGAAGAGCAGTAAAAGAGGAAAAAGGGATTACAGGAAGACAGGAGAGCTAAAATTTCAGGAGGGCAATTCCTGAAGCTTGTGGCAAGGTCTAAGAATTACTTTATGTGCTAAATAAAAATAATCAATTGATGTATATTCACGTCTTACGTTGCATATTTCTGTATATATAATTTTTTACCTTTGGGAAGCTGTTGCTGCGCTCTCCTTCCTCCTGCAGCAGCTCTCTGTAGGTGTCCAGATATCGAAACGCCACGTTCAGCACCGCCTGCTTTCTCTCTGCTCCATCCATCACTCCCTCACTCTCTCCCTCCGTCTCTCCTCCACCTCCTCCATCTTTTCTCTCACCCTCTGCCTCCCTCCTTCCACCTTCTACCTCCTCCCCCTCTGTATCTAGACTGAATCTGGGAGAGTTTGGGTTAAGGTGAAAACTGGAGTTGGCTTTGAACATTACGTTATGTCACAAGAACGTTGAAGGTCAATTTACCAAGATTTGAAATTAATAAGAAGAAAATGAGAAAATAAAAGAGTAAATGACAAATAGATTATTATTGAAATGCTATTACCCTGGATAATCAGGTCATAATTACATGTTAAACTGAAGATATTAAAAAGGAAGGAAGATTAAATTAAAAAGATAAATTAATATGATCAATTTATGGTTTAATGTTTCAGCCTCACAGAGCAGCAGCAGCTCTGATGAGAAACTGTACCTACAGAGAGTCAGTGATGCTGCCATGATGACCCACATATCACTGCAGACACACTACACACACACACTCCACACACACAGCTGCCTCAGTCTCTGCACACACAGTGTGAACATGGACTGAATGCAGTACATACAGCAGCCTGATGAGGGAGCCAATATTAATTTTTTGCTGTCTTTCAGTCATTTCTAAAATGCTGTATGATACAAGAAAGATGCTGATGGGAGTATTTGTAATGTCAAAAATAGTTACAACATTACTACCTTAGCTAGTCATGTGCTGAGATTTGGAACTACAATTCCCATAATGCTTTGGGAAATGCAAACAGAAAGTATAATGCTTGGACAAACGATTGTTGTTGTTTCAGTGTTTCACATTCAGGAATGAGCATAATCCTGATGACTGACCAAAATAAACATGGATGTCAACTGTCACATGTTCTTGTTACAAAATGAACAACCAGACACCATCAGCTTGTTCCTATGCAGCAACAGAGGAAAGCTCTGAACTCTGTGAGATCCTGGATGGACAGGCGTATTTGACTGTAGAGCCGACCGATTAACTGGAGCTGAGTGAACTTTGTAAAACCAAGCTAACTTTAAGTAAAACTGATTTTTTACAGGTACGTCTCTTGACGACACTGAAGTCAAATCATTGGTCATCACCACCATCAGTCACAAACATTAACGTGTTTAAAAAGATCTTTGTGAGCACAACCAGCAGCAAATGGATCTGAATCTTTATATATCACACACTGTATGAGTTTGTGGATGCAGTCTGACCCAGACTGGGAGTGACCTGGTCCACCTGACCTAAGGTCACTGGCTTGCTCACTTTTTTGAGCCCCTGCCCAGTCAAGCAACTGACTGTATTACTGACCTGATGTAACTTCTTTTGGACCCTGCCGAAAGGTGGATTTACAGTTGTGCATCGGCCCTACGCAGAGCCTACACAAGTGGCCTACACCATTGTGAGCATTCGTGCATGGCATGTCTGTGCCACTCTACACTTCCAAAACACTTGTTGGCAGTGGAGTTTCTGTGAATTGCTGTGAAGTCTGATTGATTTAAAATACACCTAAAACACACATTAAACAGGTTTTAGCAGTAACAATAACTGAGCCCAACTCAAACTGTAAAACTTTACATGGAAAAAAAAACAATCGTAGACTACTGAATCTGATTCGACTGACACAATTCTGAGTCAGGTACAGCCCTACAAAATTCAGCTCCATAATAACTCAAGGTTCACCAAAACAACTGTCTTATACTAGACAAGTTTTCTCCACAAACACAACATGCTAACATTATAAGCACAAGCCTGAGACATTTTCCATTGTGTAATTTAGCCTAGTGGCTGGCAGAGCTTTCCTCTACTCATATGAAGCCAGGACAAATCACACACAAAATTAAAAATGCCATTGTGTGGAGCCTGTATTGGCTTCACAATATTGTTCCTTATCTGTGAAATAAGGTAAATAAACACCTTGTTTCCACTAAAGGAAATTATTAATTATTAAGATAGAAAAAAAAGTTACTGACAGAATGAATGAATGTCTGAATGTTTCATCTTCATGCTTTTATAAATCTATTTCCTGCAGAAACGATGAAGATGACAAGATGATTTCTGTTTTGTTTTGTTTTCTCTGAAAAGGAAAAAACCAACAGATGAAGATGAAGACGAGTATTTCTCACTGTCCATCCCTCCTACTCTTCTTCCACCCACATCCTCTCTGCTCTACTTCCTCTCATCCCTCCTCCTCCCTCTGGTTCTCGTTCTCGTTCTCTCTCTCTCTCTCTCTCTCTCTCTGTGTGGGTGAGTATTAAAGTGGATGACTATCACTCAGTCTGCAGAGAGAAAAGAAAACACAGATTCATTTGCATTTTTAACGACGCAGCATCAACTGAAACTTTCTATCCTTCTTCAAGGAGTCTACTGTTATCACTTATACAGTGGCATGTAAAAGTTTGGGCACCTCTGGTCAAAATTTCGTTTACTGTGAATAAACTAAGTAGACAATGAACTGATCTCCAAAAGGCATGGCATTAAAGATGACACATGCTTTTTTAACATTTTAAGCAAGATACGAGTATTATTTTTGCTTTGTGGAACTTTGGAGTGAAAAAAGGACAGCTTGTTCACCATCATTGTTAGGAAATGCCAGGTGATGCAATTTTAGGACTTAGTCTTAGCATCATACAGCTAACATTACCTATCGAGTTTAACGACAGAGTAGAGCTGTTATGCTGTTATTGTGAGTTTGTTGGGACCGTTCAACATCTCAGTGCTGGATGATAGCCGCTGTTGCTGTGTTAGTCCCTGTTAAAGGACAACTTCGGTATTTTTCAACCTGGGCTCTATTTCCCCATGTGTATGTTTACGTATGATTCATGGGTACCACTCGTTCTAAAATTGGTTCAGTATTGAGCTGCGAAACGAGCTAAAACGGTAATGGGGGCAAATGCGTCCCGTATAAAAGTGCTTTTTTTCGCCACTCACCGGTTCAGATCGCCAGTGCTATCTCTGTAAATAGCATATGGTAGCGGCCCTGGGGCAGTGGTGAGTGTGAATGAGTGGAGTCAGCTGTCAGTCAGTGTTGGAGCAGAAAGGCGGAAGGTGTCCCTGCTCGGTATTGTAAATGAGTATGTGTGTGTGAAGTGTGTGTTACGCTACTGTTTTTTCGCCACTGACCGGTTCAGATCGCCAGTGCTATCTCTGTAAATAGCATGCTAACTTAGCCTTTCCCTTACCTCTGGGCTGTGTGATGTCACGAGCTTTGCTCCACTGTATCTGTAGCTCTCTCTACTCGTGGGACAGCCGTTTTCTTGAGGAAGAGGTGTTTCGGGATTGGATGTCTTCTCTTCTTCGGCTGGCAGTAGTCATCTTGGGAGAAGGGAGCACTGCAGACCCGATGGTCTGCAAGGCGCAGTGTCTGGAGAGGAGTGTTAGCATCCATTTGTAGCACAACTAGCCACAACTTCAGCATCTCGCCATCCGACAAAGGCAGCCTGTGAAAGCTGTACAGGGTGTTGTGCGACATCCTGTTCTTGCGTTCGGGAAAAAGGCCCGTTTATTTGAGCACTCCAAAAACTCCGGTAACACTCCAAGGGGTAGCACGTAAAAGACTCTGTCCTCTGACTCTTCTAGCGTAACACACACTTCACACACACATACTCATTTACATTACCAAGTGGGGACAACTTCCGCCTTTCTGCTCCAACACTGACTGACAGCTGACTCCACTCATTCACACTCACCACTGCCCCAGGGCCGCTACAATATGCTATTTACAGAGATAGCACTGGTGATCTGAACCGGTCAGTGGCAAAAAAAAAGCACTTTTATAGGGGACACATTCGCCCCCATTACCATTTTAGCTCGTTTCGTGGCTCAATACTGAACCAATTTTAGAACGAGTGGTACCCATGAATCATATGTACACATACACATGAGGAAATAGAGCCCAGGTTGAAAAATACCAAAGTTGTCCTTTAACTGGGCAGACGTTGAACTGACCATTCTATGTAATGGCAGCAACAGAAAGTTCGCTGATCCTTTCCACCAGTGAAGAGAATCAGTATTCCATCTGGCATTGTGCTCTCAGGATCACCATTTTATTCAATAAAGAGTTGATGAAGAGGCAACGTATTCTCACCGAGCTAAAGGTTGGTTAGCATGCTGGAACTGCAACTTCAATAAAACTGTATGTATAATACTGAATATTCTTAAGAATAAAAAGTGCATTGCTCTTTAAAATGGTGTACTTGCATTATTATGCTGTTATATTATCATTCTATCAGTGCCGTAACATGAACTTAACATGTTTATTGCAATCATTTCTAGGACAATACGTGTATCTTTCACCAAAAGTAGTTATTGGGACAGGTCTATAACCAGCAGCCAAAAACCTACAAATATCCAGCTCAAATGTACCCAAGTTTTCTAAAAAAATCTGATCCTTTCCACCAGTGAAGAGAATCAGCATCCCATCTGGCATTGTGTTCTCAGGATCACCATTTTATTCAATAAAGAGTTGATGAGGAGGCAAAGTATTCTCACCGAGCTAAAGGTTGGTTAGCATGCTGGAACTGCAACTTCAATAAAACTGTATGTGACCAATAGCTAGCAAGCTACAATAGCTTCCTCCATTTTGGACTCCCCAGTTCTGTTAAAACAACTTGCTGTTGTTATAATGTGAGCCTGCATATCAAAATTCACTGAAGCAAATAAATTAATTTAGCTGAAAATTTTCATCATATTTTGCTGTGTAAATATGTCTTTATCGCATTAAACTTCCAAGAGGTCCATGACTTGCCACATGGTGGTTTACCTGTGCAGAAGGCAGAAATATAAGGTGCCCGTGCCAAGTATGACATCTTCAACTTTTTAGCATTAGAGATATTAACTACTGAAGGTTCAATTAGTCTTCATGGGAATAAAAACCCCAGGTTTTTGTGATTTGTGTGAAAACGATAAAATTGTGGTCTTAAAGTTGATGTAGTTACTGTTACTACTGTTATTACTGTGGTTATTACAAAACTGTTAGACTAGTTATGAGATAGAAAAAGTGGAGTAAGAATTAATATGAGCATGCGGCAAGATTTATCGATTCTAAGAGTCTAACCAGTAGTGGGGCTAAAAATGTGTGTGCGGCACTACAGGAAAGGTTATGAAGGGTAATGGCGAGATGGTAATCCTAGATTTGCAAAAACTCTCACAAGCCACTTTAAAATACTCTTGTATGGCTGTTTTATGGTGTGACAACACTGTGGTTAAGGTCTGGGTAGGTTAAGACACAAAAAGCATTTAGTTTGGCTTGGGGAAATATACTGGTTTGGGTTAAAATGATCACTTGAAATCTTGCAAGAGTTTTCGTGAATCTGGAGTTACCATCTAGACACAACCTTTATAGAGTTTTTAAATTCTAAAGGGTTCATCCTCTGGAGAGCTTGAGTGAGATCAGGACATTTCATGGAAACCTGTTGGTTAGATTTTCCTGCCTGACAAGCAAACTGGAGATTCCCCAAGTATTGAACCGACAGACTGAAGAAGATGAAACATGAAGCTGAAGCTGCTCAGACAGTGTAAGCCTGCAGGCTGCGTGGAGGGGAGAAAACACAAATCCTCAGCTCCCAGGGTCAGATAAAACTGTGGCTGACCAAACTGAAGCACAGTCACAAGTTTATCTGTGAATAAAGTACAACTGGTAATAACCAGATTTACACTGTGACTCTGAGCAGCAGAGTTCTACTGTCAAACACTCGCATGTGTTTGGACGTTCATTTCTGTCTGACTCCATTAGGCAGTCATGCAGATACACAACACAGCGCTGTGAGCACATTCTATCAAGGTAATTATGCATGTGAATGTGAGTGAAGGATACTGCTGCAGCAGGACTTGCTGGAACCTGTCGGCCGTCAGGAAGATGGGATGGGTCAACATGAAGTCATCCAGCAAGGTTTCTGCAGGGAGACACAGACAGAGAAGTTAGTTTTACAGACTGCACCTGAATGTGACCTGGAACACTTGAGCAGGAAATGCTAAGTATCACTCACAGACGCTTAACCTGAAAGAAAAGGCGGCAAAGTAGACACGATCAGAATTAATACCTAAATAAGAAGTAGGGCAAAGAGTAATGATCATTTTCATTATCGATTAATCTGCCCATTTATGATTTATGGTTGTCTCTACAGCCAGGAAACAGAGAAAAATGCAAGTCTAAGGTGACGTCATGTCTTATTTTGTCTGACCAACTGTCCAGAACCCAAAGATATTTAGTTTAAAGTTACATAAAACAGTGAAAAGCAGCAAATCATCACACCAGAGAAGGTGGAGCCAGAAATGATCCCCATCTTGTTTGACTGATAACTTATAAAAGCCTAATCTTATTAATCACTAGTTTCGGTACTAGGTATTTGTTTTAAGTTGTCCTTTCACTTCCATGTGCATTCTGGGAAGTCACTTTGCGTTTTCAGTTTCTGTCTGTTAACTGGGAGGATTAGTTCGGTAACTGGCTGATATGGATTGGGCAACAGGCAGAGTAGGATTGGATAACTGGTGAAGCAGGATCAAGCAACTGTCAAATCAAAGCATTTGAGAGGCCATAACCAGAAAATGTTTGACCTTTCTGCTTGAGAAGTTACTACACAATGTATTTTGTTATCAACTTTCAAATTGTTGTTGATTTATCTTCAAGGATTGAGAAACTGGCAGGTTAGGATCAGGCAATTGGCCACTGTGTAGGCTGAAGGGTAAGACCTTGTTGAGAGGTTTTGGGTTCAATACTTTATTCAACCATTTCCATTTTAGAGACACACAGCATTATGAAAGTCTCTGTAGTCCGAGGTGATATTAATTAATGTTTTCTTTTGTCTAACCAACCAGACCTGCCACAATAATTACGTAATCAACTTAATGATTTCAGCAAAAAAAAAAAAAAGTCTGTGTCAATATATCAAACAACATTGTCCTTGTGTTTATATACATGTATTTATGTTTTATTTATTTAGGATACTTTTTTTTAAACACATTTTATGTGTTTGAATATTCTTAAGAATAAAAAGTGCATTGCTCTTTAAAATGGTGTACTTGCATTATTATGCTGTTATATTATCATTCTATCAGTGCCATAACATGATCTTAACATGTTTATTGCAATCATTTCTAGGACAAAATGTGTATCTTTCACCAAAAGTAGTTATTGGGACAGGTCTATAACCAGCAGCCAAAAACCTACAAATATCCAGCTCAAATGTACCCAAGTTTTCTAAAAAAAAAAAAAAAAATCTCCTGAGACTGAGGATCTGAAGTGAATGAACAGAGAGCTGTAGACAAGCATACACAAATGTATGGAAATTAACAATCAGATATCATTACACACATTTGAATATATGGCTGCAAGCAATTTTTACACACACACACACACACACACACACACACACACACACACGGAATATGATGAACATACTGAAATCTGTGCTGCTTTGACTCCATTTTATGTCAGTAATGTTTTCTTTTAATCTCCCAGAGAAGACAGATGTCAGTTCCATCTTCGCCTAGGTCAGCACAAAGACTAAAAGCATGGGGAAACTGCGAGCACAGCTCCATCAGAAGAGAATCAAACCTAACAACCCAAAATCTGCCACCAAGATTATTTGATGAGTTGACGGGGTTTCCAAATATTGTGGACCAACAAATGACAAAATTCCAAAAGTCAAATGCCCAAGTGCTTTACAGACACATTAACATATTTTTTTAAAAAATAAAAATAAATTGGTAAATACCTGTAAGAGCCAAAATTATAGAAACACACTTCCTGTTTCTGTATCACAGACTTGTTTCTGAAATCAACCCTAAACACACACACACACACACACACACACACACACACACACACTAAATGTAGGCCACGAAGACATATTTAGCCTCATTGTTTTTGATATGCAAAACCAGAACTAAAGCTTTAAGACACAAAAGGGGGAAAGAAAGATAGATTTATCTATTTTTAAAGAAAATGTGGAAACAGAGACAAACGCTGCTGATGACTGAGATAAAAGCTGTTTTTTTCTGAACTAAAACACTGTGTTAAACTCTCAGCTGCAGTAGCAAATGGCTGTAATTTAAGATGCTGAAACAGCACGACTCAAAACCTGTGGTCAGATTTACTAAACTATACTGCTGTGTGTGTGTGTGTGTGTGTGTGTGTGTGTGTGTGTTGCATGCTGCAGTGGGTGTGTCCTGCCCGGGTCCACCTCTCTGCAGGCGGTTACCATAGAGACACCACGTTGCCGACAGTGAGAGGATGAAGGGGGAAATGTGAGAGAGGAAACACTGAAGACAGAAATGAACGTCACACTTGGGTGTGTGTATGTATGTGTGTGTGTGTGTGTGTTATTGATAACAGAGTCATACTGATATTACACCTCTGACACTGATGATGCGGTTGAGTGATTGGTCATATGATCAATACCACACTGGACTTATCCCAACTGATGTTTCCTCTCCCACTGGAGGGTCAGCCTGCCCCCCATGGAAGAAAGAAACTAAATATTTAGGGATTCAAGCTTGAAAGGCTGAAATCGTTTTGTGTTTGAGCTGATTTTTGTTTTTTTTTTTCCATTTTTCCTAAATGTTTTTTTTTTCTGTTCTGAAGAAAGAGAGAGGGGAGAGATGTTACGCAAGCGGTTACGCCAGTCAGAGGCCTTCACGTGGGGAAGACAGACGGGACACTCGGCCAATCATTGCATTTGATTGACTTCGGTCCGAATGCAACGATTGGTTGGAGTTTTCTTAGAACCATATGAAAATGGTAAAATTATGAGTTTGTATCTCTCTCTCTTTGTTTCTATCTAACCTAAACAAAGAAAAGCATAAAATTTCCAGAAAGGTAAGTGTTGCTTTAACAAAGATTTGTTAATCATCTGTTGATCATGCAAAAAGGTATGCCTGCTTTTTTCCCTGATTGGTTTAAATCTGCCAGTGGACAGTCCAGTCTGATTTTCTCTATCTCCTGCAGAGTGAAGTGTCTGCACAGGTAAACTGTGCAACAGCTGAAACTACACAACCCTCAGTCCTTCACTGTCCTGAATTACAAACTGGCACTGGCAGTAGGAAAGTAAAATTCAAAATTCTCCTGAAGACATTACACTAACTTTTATGATTTTCTTCAGTTATGGATTGAGGCAAATATAAAAACACTACTAATATGTAAACAGTACATAGTTCTCCTGTAGATGTGATAAGGTGTTGATATAGAATATATGTGAAAATAATTTAGGAACACTATTTTGTATATGTTTTTTACATTTTTTAACTACATACACAAGAATGGAAATAACCAGGAATCAACCCAATTTAGTACATTATACACCCATTATAAAATACATTTTATAGTATGCAAACTATCGGGGGGGTCGATACAGCATAGCATCGCCATATTTTTGTGTGACAATATTGTATCATCACACACTGCCAAGAATACATTTTTTTATTGTATAGATTAGCAATATTACATATCCAAATTAAACTTTAGGTAGCCTACTTGAATAATAAAGTCAATTGCTTATTCAGTCCACTAGATATCAGTCCACTAGATATCAGTCCACTAGATACACTGTGCTGCAAATAAAATGACTGAAGTGAGATGAACAGACTAAAAAATTTATCTTATTAGATAAAACAGATGTTGACAAAGTTTTCCTTCTGGGACACACTTTACAGTTTAAAAAGGTAATAAATCGCATTATATTAGATCGCAACACTCAGCATATCACAACATGTTTAAAATCACACTAATACTGTATCGTGACTTAAGTATCGTGATAATATTATCGTGAGGCCTCTGGTGATTCCCACCCCTAAGAAGTATGACTCAAAATATGTAGATACAGATCCCTGACCTGAAAAAAACAGCACACTAAAATAGGTGTTGTGTCACCTCTGCCACTGCATTACTCAACAAAGCACACCGGTAAGGGTCATGTGTGTAGGCGCTCTGAATGTGTATAAATGTTGATGAATCTGAAGTCTTTCAATTAGATATGCTGTGGTGTATCATGTATTTATGTAACTTATGTAAATTTCCCTGGAAATACAAAAAGAGTGCATCTATCTAAATAATTTGCTAATATCAGAATCAGCATCAGCATTAAAAAACTCATGTGCATACGATGTATATTCACAGCTGCAATGTGTGGAAAACATGCACATAGTAATGAATTTGAAGTAAAAAGCCATTTGAGGAATAATCAGCAGAAAGATGCAGACGAGAGATGATGGAGAAGATGGTGTGAATGTAGAGAGAGGATGGAATGAAAGAGTGTGAATGTGGGAGGGAGAGGAGAGAAAACAACTGAATCCAAATGGGATGTAAAGGACGCCTACAATCTCTCAGAGACAACACACTGACTGTTCACTACAGACAGACAACCCTCAATAATAAGAAAAGCTTATCAAGAAAAAGATTGTATGAAAATAAGAACATTAAGTTATGATTTAGAAAAAGCCAGTTTTCACTTGAACAATCTCTTCTTGCCTCAATTTATATATGTATATTGAACTGGTGCACAGGGACTTATATCTAGCGAGTGGCAGTTGATATCTGCACATGTGAAATAATATAATTTACTTATGAGCATGTGTTATCTCACTTGTGACTTCAGTCATAAATCTGATGCCATATACAGAAGGCGGCTTTGGTGCATGTGCGTGGGAACATATTTTTGCTGAGGGCTGCTGCACACTATAAATTTGCTTGCATGAATATGAATGTGCACGCACTTACACAGGAGCTAAAGTGACAGGAAAACTGCCCAGAGGTACGTGCATCAGTGATTCTATCACCCATTGGTCTAAAGAATGTGCGCTCCTTCACCTCAGACACAATCTCTGTGTAGTCTGCATGTGCCACAATTTCTAATATGTCATTTTGAATCTTATCAGACCTCCACTTGTCTCTTCGCCT